GTCAATAAACTCCATTTGTTGTATGTGGTGACATCATTCTAGTGAATGACTTTGACTTTGGTTGTGCCTGGAAACAATTAAAATAGTGTTCACCATTGAACTGAGTGCTTTGTGATTTTTTTTTTGTATCATTTGAGGTTCTGGTGGTTTCACATCTGATTCTACTTCGTCCTTAAGCTTTTGGTCTTTATTGTGATGCAAAAATTGCCCATGTAACTTGCTGATATTTGAAGTAATTCTTATTGTGGAATTTCCATGACTGCTTAAGCTTTTTGACTTGGAAGCAATGATCATTCACCTGATGGTTTTGCCTTATGCTGACTGGAGTGATTTTAAGAACAGCCTCTAGTCAATAAATCAGCCAACTATGTCTAAATGTTAAGCACCTAACTGGTACACTGTCCCTGGTAATGATTGAATATTTAAAATTTGAAGGAATGTAGATGCTGGGAATGGGGAACAAAAACAAATTCCTGGGGAAGACTCCACAGGTCTGGCAGCAATTGGGAGAAATCCATTCTGAATGGTCCCCAGCTGAAATATGGACTGACTTATCTCAACAAATATTGCTTGACTGGGGTTTTTTCCAGCAAATAGTTTTAGTGAACCATTAACACCTACTGACTACAATAGATCAGTTAAAATTGCCCTTGTGGGAATATAAATATTGTCATACTTGCATGACGGATCATTTTGACTGCATTTGGATGAGCAACATGATTTGATTGTCTTCCTTTTTTTGGTAAGAATTTAGTTTCTCTGGCAGCAAACATTGTTGGATAATAAAATTTGCTTCTGTTTTTTTAGTCCATTTAAAAACTGAGTGCTGAAAGCTACACTTATTACTGTCAACAGTTTGAATTGAATGAAATATTTTGGGCAGCTAGCAGCAGGTGTGAAAGACACATCTCCTGAGTAAAACTTCCCCATGTCAAGGGAGAACAAGAAATTAAATAATGGAGCATTAAGCTTAGGTTCAGCCCAATTGAAGTAAAGCCAACTGTGCTTTAAACTTGCAGTGAGGGGTCAAACATTTTGTTCAAATCTCCCAGGGTGTAACCTGAATAGTGAAGGTGGTTTAAGAGATTTGACTAAGCTGTTTGATGTAGCTCATCAGTCAGACCTGGTCCGCTAAGTCATAGGGGAAGAGGGCTTTGTTTTTTAATCACCATGCCAGAAGGGTATTTCTAATTATACGTTAGCAGTTGCATGCTGAATCTGATTTTTTTTTTTGTTTTTGTGGTATGGGAGAACAAACAATATTATGTTTGATTTGAGGATAGATGCCACCTTGAATCATTTCCTTGATGGGGATTGTCAGGAGATCAGTGAGGGAATAGAAATAATAACCTTATCCATGCATTTTCAGGGGTGGGGGGAGGTGGAGAGGAGAAAGAGTTGTCAGACAAAATCAGGATATGAGGAAGTATGCCAGAATCTTGACAGCCTCCAGCTCAGAGCAGAGCCCACTTGATTGGCACAACATCCACAAACATTCACTCCTTCCACCACTGACACACCCACAGACTGCACTGTCTACCATCTAACAAATGCTGTAGAAATTTACCGAAGGTCCTTTAGCCAAGACACTTGAAAACCCCAATTACTTTCCATAGGACAAGGGCAGCAGATACATGGAACACCATCCCCAACCCCTGTAAGTTCTACTTCAAGCCACTCACCATCCTGAGTTGGAAACATAGCCCCATTCCTCTGCTGTTGGTGGATCAGAATCCTGGAATTCCTTCCCTAACAACAGGTGGATCTGCCTACACCAAATGAGCAACAGCAATTCAAAGGCAAAGCGCCACATTCTCTAATCTAATGTTTAGCCCTGATCTCCGAGGGGTTCAAATACCTCTGTGGAGGTTCTTTTTGTGAAATTGTCAAGTTCCAGTTCAACCACATCTGGAGTGCACAGTTCTGGCAGATTGGACCCAAACGTTGGACATGCAGAATTTCTGGAATGAAGCTGGACAGAGCTGGTTAATTGATGACAACAGTTTGTCTGAGTCCCTCTGTGTAGAAGGATAAGGGGCAGCTGTGGTTGAAATTTTTAAGAGAATTAATGAATTTAACAGGGTAGATAGAGAAAACTGGTTTCTTCTCAATAGTTAACAAGGGCTGAGAGTGGGGAAATGGATTATAATCTTCACATTAGAAGTAAATCATCCAGGATAATGTCAAAAACAGCTTGTTCACACAAAGGATAATAAAGCATACACATCGCACATGCAAGCGCGTGCACACGCACATATACACAGTACGAATTGAAAGTTTCAAAACTGAGACTGTTAGATTTTATTAGATAAGGATTGATGTCAGCAATCACTTTCTAATTTCATCACAAAACAAATCTGAGTAATGCATTTTGGTAGAAGAAACATGGAAAGACAAAACAGGCTCAATGTTACAAATCTGAGGTGAGAACAGAGCAGAGGTACTTTGGGTTTCAAGTATGTGATTATCTGAAAGTGGCCAGGCAAGGTGAAGCTGCTATTAAGAAGGCTTATGTGAAACTTGTGTTTTCAAACAGAGGATAGAGTATAAAAGTAAGGAATTGATGCTACACCTCTACAAATCATTGGTTAGACCACATTTGCAGTATTGTGTTCAGCTCTGGGCATAGCATTTAAGGAAAGACGTTAAAGCCGTGGACAGAGTTCAAGGGAGATTTATGAGAATGATACCAGGAATGAGGAATTTTAGATACAAGGAAAGAGTAAGGAAATTGGGTTAATTGTCCTTGGAGCAAGATGATTAAGAGGTGACCTTATTGAAGCGATCAAAATAATGAACAATTCTATCAGGGTAAAGGAGGATATTCCGTTTTCACGAGCTGATATGTCAGCGATGAGGGGTCACAATATGTTAGTAAGGGAGCTCTGACATGAGGAGAAACCTCTTTTCTCCGAAAGTTGTCAGGATTTGGAATGTGTTGCCTGGGAGAGTGATGGAGGCAGATTCCATAGATGGTTTCAAGAAAGAGCTGAATGTATATTTGGGAGTGACAAATACAGAGGGCTACAGACGGAGGGCTGGAGAGTGGGTCTAGGTGGGTAGCTCTTTTGGAAACCGATACAGACACGATGGGCCGAAAGGCCTCCTGTTGTTAAAAATCTTCTGAATGTCCTCCCAGGAAATTCTGTGAATTCAGCCAACGATAGCACATGCCTATCTTCCACCTGGATGGCCGTTGGGGACTTGTTTTGCATTGCACTTTATCAGGTTCCTCCCCTCGATTTATACCGTCCTGGGTGGCCCTGCCAGGAGGTGAAATCCTCTTCAGGGATCACTCTCAGAACCAAACAGAATACTCGAGGCTCTCCATCACTGCAAGGTGACAATCCACAAGCGGGAGCTGGAGGCAGGGAAATGCTGTTCATGTACAGATCCACCACAGAATCGGAGAATTGTTATGGCACAGCAGGAGGCCATTCGATCCATTGTGCCTGCACCTGTTCTGGTTGTTTTCTAAATCAGCCTGTCAGAGATGTTATAAGGCCTCTGGATCTGGTAGGAACTTGTACCAAGATCTCCTGGTCCAGAGGTTGGGACATTAACCCTGCACCACGAGACCCTGGCTACACTGGTTGTACAAACATAGAACCAGAGAAAAAAATTGTTGGAGTAGGCCATTCAGCCCTTCCAGCCTGCTCTGCCATTCCATGTGATTGTGGCTGATCCCCCAACTCAGTCCCATCCTCCCACTCTCTCTCCATACTTTTTGATCCCTTTACACCTCAGAGCTATATCTAACTCCTTCTTGAAACCATTCAATTTTTTGGCCTCAACTGTTTTCTGTGGCAGAGAATTCCACAGATTCCCCACTCTCTGGGTGAAGAGATTTCTCCTCATCTCAGTCCTAAATGGCCTGCCCAGTATCCTGAGACTGCAAACCCTGGTCCTGAACTTGCCAGACATTGGGAACTTTCTTCCTGTCTTTGCCCAAAATGATCCAGTTACAATTTTCTATGACCCAGAGACAATTTCCCACCTTTCTATCCCAAATCCCAGCACAACAGGCTGAGAAACTGACACACGCCTTCCTCATTGAGTCCATCATGCAGTTGGCCCCCTTAATTTGAAAAGAAAATGTGAAAGCTTTTCTTAAACCAAATCCAGTGCTTTTTAAAGAAGTACCAAACGAACCATGACCTGATTGAGTGGTCTAGCAGGTTTGAGATGCTGAATGGCCTCCTGCTGTTCCAATCACAGAATAACCATCCAGACCTGACTATAATCTACACCTCTGATCAGCTCTGCTTAACACACCCACCCCCTCTCTCTAATTGGTGCCTGTATGCATGGGTGGTTCCTGATTGGCTGTCAGCAATTGTCAGTCATCATTGGTGCTGCCTCTCCCTGGGTGAGTGCAGGATGGTCCCAGGAGTAGAAATACAAGAGTTTGTGGGTGAGAGGGCTTAGTTCTAGAGTTATCCTAGTGATAGTGAGTAGGAATAGTGAAGATGGTGTTGCAAGTGCGTCAGAACTACCACAAGGACTGTGAGGATGCTGTTAACGAGCAGATCAACCTGGAGCTCTATTCCTCCTATGTTTACTTCTCTGTGATGAGCCTTGTGGATTTGTTTTGGAATTCAAGTGGTGGCCACTTTATATTAAGGATGTGGGATTTCTCTGCAGTTGGTTCATGTTTAATAATGTATTAGAGTAGCCATTCTGTGCTGTAGAGAAGCGAATATTTTTCTCAAGTCTAATCTCACATTTTGCTGACAAAATGTTGTCTCAGGTCCTTGATGTGTCACCTGAAAGTAGATTGCTTCCTCAATGTAATATAATTCACTGCTTTGGATAAGCAATCTTAATCAATGTGCCCAGGTATATTATGACTTTCCTCTTGGACAAGTTTGTTGGGACATGGACCAGAGCCTCGTATCCCAGAGGTGGAGCTACTGCCACTACCATGAGCCCTCATTGATGCCCATGCTTCACTAGTTAACTTTCTTCAACTTCTAAAGGTCTTGGAGTAGATCTGCAGCTTGGGTTGTGGGTGTTGAAGTTCGTTGGTGAACCAACCAGGTTTGTTGTCCTGCAGATGTTTTGTTACCGTGCTTGGTAACATCCTCAGTGCAGTTTCTTCAATTGCATTCAGAACTGAGAATCCTGTCCTGTGTTGGAAGCTTTCCTCACCTGAAGTGGAATCTTTTTCCCTTAACCATATGACACTGGAACAATTAGGTTAATACTTAACATTTAAATCCAAATATTCAGTATTAAATAGTCATGATCCAACTTGTAGCAAGATAATCCCTTTCCTTCCCTCCTACTTCAGAAGGAAAGAACATCTGTCTGTTCAGGTCAGATTTTTAGTGACTTACAAGGGATATGTTTTCCCTTCATGGAACTGCAGCCTGTATAACTGGAAAAAGCCCTTCTGAGGAAATGTTCCAAATTCAAATGGCAGCAATGACTTTTCCCTTTTGGCTGTTTTGCAGTTCTTACTTTGACCGGGATGATGTTGCCCTGCGTCATTTTGCTGAGTTCTTCAATGAGCAGTCTCATGAGGAATGGGAACACGCTGAGAAACTGATGGCATTCCAGAATAAACGTGGAGGCCGAGTCCTCCTGCAGGACATCAAGGTTGGGTTTGATGGAATGAGTGATTTTGTGTCCCTGTCAACGACTGTGCTTTCTTTAACTTGTATTAATTCTGATCTAATCCATCAGTTTCTGTTCTTGTACTAATACCTAATGACATGGATCTCTAGTTGCTTTTCACTGTTTTCTTGCAATTTTGTTCTTCATTGAAGCATCTCCTTCCCTCCCTTCAGAAGCCAGAGCAGGATGATTGGGGCAATGGTCTGGAGGCAATGCAGAGAGCTCTGCAGATGGAGAAGGATGTGAACCAGAGTCTGCTGGATCTGCACAAACTTGCCTCTGGCAACATGGACCCTCATGTGAGTGTGTAGTGTATTTGAGCCTGGGCTTTTGGCTAACAGATGGATAAGACTAAGGCCTTTTAGCCTCAAGATCTCGATCTACATTGTGGAGGGTTTTGTACTGGGATACACGACAATTCTAGTGTTTCAAAAACTGAGCACTTAAATGTTTCTGTCAATCTCCATGACATTGCTTCACTGCTCGGTCTCCCAAGCTCTTGAGGAAACTGTATTTTGATGGATTTAATTGGTTGCCCTCTGTTTCTCCAGCTGTGTGACTTCCTGGAGAGGCACTACTTGGATGAGCAAGTGAAGATGATCAAGAAGCTGGGAGATCACATCACCAACCTGAAGAGACTGGGAGCCCCTGATAATGGCATGGGAGAGTACCTGTTTGACAGGCTCACCCTGGGGGGAGAGCGACTGAACTGACTGCCGGGAGCAAGCCTTGTAACTTCTGCCATAAATGGGAGATATCTGTACTTGATGGTTTTCTGCTCGTAAAAACAGATGAGACCAATTTCTATTGTGTAATTTTGAAACTGTCAATAAACTGCCCAGTACTGTATTTTCCCATTAGTTTGTATGGAAGCACTACTTGCAAAAGGTCACATAGACCATGACAAGCAACTTCAATGTGGTAATTACAGCAAGGTGTGTGGGTTTTTTGTACTCCCTTCCCTTTTTGAAATACTTGTCACCAGACCACCTGCCTTGCCTATTACCTGCTGAGTTTGGGTGCAGCCAGCAATTAGTCTCTGGCCAGCAGGGTGGCTATTGGGTAACCATGTGATATCTCTCAGTTTGGACAAAGCCCAGTGTGACCACTAGATGTTCACTGCATCTTGAATCCTTTTGTGTCACCAGAACAGATGTCACTACCCAGATACTAGTTCAGTATCTGTGGATTGACTGTGTCTCATGGTGGTATCTTCTTCTTTCCCTTCCCTACACCCCCCTCAGCTGCTTGAACCTGCCACATAATTGGTGGTTCCAGATATGAACAATAGTCACTCTATCTGGTCTGCGGAAGGACTGAAACCTTCTGTAATAAAACCAAATGTTGTTAGGGAAAACCTCAGGCTGTAACAGGAAGCAAAAGAACTAGATTAGGTCAGATTGTTTAATTTTGTTTTCTAAATCAGTTAATTCTTATCTGCCCATAAACAAGGGGCAAGCTAGAGATTTGTTCAAGATGCATTAATCTATAAGCAAGGCCCACATTAAAACAAATTTTCTCCAAATCTCGGGTCCTGGGTTATTGTCCCTCTGCAAAACCCTTTTTCTTTGTACATTGTACTTGGATGTATGGTGATTTCTGATTGGCTAGCAGGCATTGCTAATCATTGGTGATGCCTTTCCCCGCCTCCGAGTGCAGGATGTTCCCAGGAATATAAATACAAGAGCTTGTGCTGGTGAGGCTCAGTTCAAGAGTTGCTGGGTAATAGTGAGCAGGAATAGTGAAAGATGGCCTCCCAAGTGTGTCAGAACTACCACAAGGACTGTGAGGCTGCTGTTAACAAGCAGATCAACCTGGAGCTCTATTCCTCCTATGTTTACCTCTCCATGGTGAGTGTTGTGTTCCTTGCCGCTGTATTTGGAGAAAGTGGAGATTCTCAAGGTTAATGGAAATGGCTTTAAGCTCTACTCTATTGCTGGGACAACGACACTTTTGAGTAGTGAAGGACTTTGTGTGGGAGTTATTACGGAGTCAATGGGCTGTTCCTTACAGCAGCTGTTTTCTATGGGGGTTTAATGCTGCATTACCTCCGCTAGTTACTGTGACTAATCAACAACACAACAGTACCTGACTATTGATTAAGGGAATAGTCAGTAATAGGGTGACTCTAGCTAGTGAACATGTCTTTTACCTCTAGATATAGATGTAGTTTTGAGGTTCCTGATGAGCTTTGCTCAAGGAAGATATGCCATTCAATACCAATACGAATCTAGTGTGGTGTTTGAAGTCAGTAACAATTGCCTCTGTACTGAAGGAAACTGGTCAGTTTCTGACAGTAAGATCGTTCAGTGACTCTGAGATGCTTGTTCACTTGGAGTGAGTTCCACTGTTAACAGAAATAGAAACTCAAGAAATTCCCCATCCGCAGGACAGGGGGGTGGCATATTCCAACAATTTCCATTAAAAATTGCATCTCAAAGTAAACTTTGTTTGTCTCCTAAGAGCTACCTAACTGCCCATCAGCAACTTTGGAGTGGCAAAGAATCATAACAAATTTGTTTTCCACATCTGAAACTGAATTGCATGTAAAGACTTAAATGTGATAACAGGTGTTTGACTCTCTTCCCACAGTCCTTTTACTTTGACCGGGATGATGTTGCCCTGCATCACTTTGCTGAGTTCTTCAAGGACAGGGCCATGAGGAATGGGCACATGCTGAGAAACTGGCATTCCAGAATAAACGTGGAGGCCGAGTCCTCTTGCAGGACATCAATGTTGGGTTTAATTATACCTATCCAGCATCACTGCAACTTGTGGTATTAAATGTTTGGAGCAATTGGATTAATGCTGTTATGTGACTATTATGGCATGCTATTCCATCCTGCATCCTGCATCCTGCTTCCCTTTGTGGATATTTCAATCTATTGAAATATCTACCTCTTCCCTCTCTTTAGAAGCCAGAGCAGGATGAGTGGGGCAATGGTCTGGAGGCAATGCAGAGAGCCCTGCAGATAGAGAAGGATGTGAACCAGAGTATGCTGGATCTGCACAAACTCTCCTCTGACCACACAGACCCTCATGTGAGTTCTTCATTCCAGATGTTACCCATGTGATTGAAGTTGGATTAAAATGACTCAGTATGAATGTTACTACCATGATTTGTATTGCTCCCTACACAGCTTTTCAGTCTGTACACCAATATCTTTTAACTGAGAATGCTACTTCATCTCAACTATAAGGTGTAAAGCAAGAAGCAGGCCACTCAGCCCATCAAGTCTGTTATGCCATTCCCAATCATGGCTGATCTGAATCCTCAACTTTAATTTCCAGCCTTATCCACCTAAATCTTGATTCCCTTTGTGGTTTTTTTATTATTAATGTGACCCATCCTCAACAGCCCTCTGCAGCCAAGAATTCCATGGATTCACTCCTGAGAGTTTCCTGTCTAACCCCTTACCTGAGATCATGCCTTCAGATCGTAGACACTCCCTCAGGGAGAAATAACAGTTGTACTTGGACCCTGTGAAGCTCCATAGAATCCTGTGTTTCAGTGAGGTCTCCTTTTCATTCTGTGCTGAGTGCAGTCTTGACCTCTTCCCTTAAAACTATCCCTCTGTCCGCAGGGTCACATGACAGGTAAGTTGCCATCCTGAATGTTCCCCTTATTTGAACTCTGGCTGAATAATAATAGATGACTATCTTCTCTCTTTTTTTCATGTCCTACCCCAACACCATGGGCTCTATCTTGTCTGAGTGTAACAATCTCTCCAGACTTTAGACCCCATTTAAAGCAAGTTTCCTTGCTGATAAGGCAAATGCCAACTTGCTGAACTGTGAAGGGAATGTTTGCTTTGCTTTCAGCTTGGTTCTTTTATGCTGATCCCGAATAAAACCAATTGGAAGCCCCATGTTCAGAGCTGTGCAGATGGAAATTGAGAATGTGCTCCTCCTGCATATTGTGAAACCAAGGCCAGTATCAATGGGTGTAAGGCTGTGGCTTTAGGACATGAATTAAACAGGCTTCAATCAATTCTTCTTCCCCCACTCACTGCCCCTCCTCCCCAAGGGCAAGGGATTATTCCATACAGATGAAGCCTATTGGGGAACGTTGGGATGGCAGTGCAGGAGGGAATCCTCACAGATTTGTAACAAACACAAACCTGAAGGTGGCTTTGCATACACAATAAGCAGCATGAGACCAGTTGTAAATGTTTTCTTGTACTTCTTTTAACATCTTAATTTGTGAAACAAAAGTAAAATCGATGATTTGCCTCTTGGTGAATTTCAATCCTGTTGGGCGAGAAAAGCCTATCTGTGTCATCACTTCCCAGAATCAGTTGAGGGAAGACTCTTTAAATATTTCTTGTGTAGATTATCCTCCACTTTCAAAAACTCTCTTTCTTTCTTTTTGTTCCTCCAGCTGTGTGACTTCCTGGAGAGGTACTACTTGGATGAGCAAGTGAAGATGATCAAGAAGCTGGGAGATCATATCACCAACCTGAAGAGACTGGGAGCCCCTGAGAAAGGCACGGGAGAGTACCTGTTTGACAGGCTCACCCTGAGCTGAGTGGGATCAATAAATTCTATTTGTGCATGGTGACTTCATTCTAGTTCGTGACTTTGGTTGTGCTTTGAGCAGAATTAAAATAGTGTTCACCATGGAACTGAGTGCTTTGTGTGATTTCATGTCTTTTGGAGGTTCTGGCTGTTTAACATCTGATTCTATTTGGTCCTTAAGCTTTTGTACTTTAGCTTGATGCAATAATTGCCCATTTAACTTGCAACTTTTGAATCCACTGTCTGTAGGGATTTTTGAACGAAGTAATTCTAGTTGTGGAATTTCCACAACTGCTTCAGCTTTTTGACTTGGAACCAATGCTCATTCAGCTGATGATGGGTTTTGCCTTGTGCTGACTGGACTGATTTGAAGAACTGCCTCAGTCAATGAACAAATCAGTCCACTGTCTGAATGTTAAGCATCTAACTGGTGCACTGTCCCTAGCAATGTTTGAATTTGAAGGATTCAAAGGAACTCTGGATGCTGGAAATCAGGAACAAGAAATCATTGGGAAAGACTCAACAGATCTGGTAGCATCTGGGGAGAAATTCAGTCGGAATAGTCACTTCAGTTGATCAGTTGAAATACTCCGACAGGAATAAGGTTATTATCATATTTGCAAGACACACCATTTTGACTGCTTTTGGATGAGCAACACTTGATTTGTTAGACAGTTGTTGCTTCCAAGGTAGGGACTTTAGTTTCGCGACAGTGAACTTTTTGGAGAATAAAGCCTGCTTTTGGCCTTTTTACAGCCCATTAATAAAGAATAAGGAGCTAAAGTAACTCCACAACTGTTCCACTCGCTTCTGAAAACTGCACTTATCACTTTCAACAACTTGCATTGGCTGAAATATTTGGTGTAACTCCAACTGTGCATTTAATTTGCAGTGATGGTCAAACATTCTGTTCAAATCTCCCAGGGTGTAAACCAGTGAAGGTGCTTCAAGAGACTTGACCAAGCTGTCTGGAGGAGCTCATTCAGCCAATACTAGTATTGGACCTGGTGCTCCTACAAGGAGGGGAGTAGGGATTTGTTTTATTAATCACCATGCGCGAAGGGGCATTTGCTGTTGTACAGCTTGAGATCCATGCAGAATTTTGTCTTTGTTTATGGTGAACAGACAATAGTGGCTTCAATTTGAAGCCAGCTGCCCCCTGAATGATTTCCTTGACAGAGATTGTCAGGAGATCAGAGGCAGAACAGAAAGTATGACCTTTTCCATGCATTTCGGGGAGGGGATGTGCAGAGGAGAAAGAGTTGTCAGACAGAATCGGGATAAAAGGAAGTACTCAATCTTCACAGCCTCTCGCTCAGAGCAGCCCGCTTGTTGTGAACAAAATCCACAAACATTCACTCTTTCCACCACTGGCACTCAGGGACACGATGTACCAGCTAATAAATGCTGTAGAAATCCAGCAAAGCTCCTCAGACAACCCCTACCAAATCCCCCACGACCTTTTCCCTATGACAAGGGCAGTCACTACATGGGGAAACCACTCCAATAGTTCTACTTCAAGCCACGCACCAGCCTGAGTTACAAACAGCCCCATTCCTGCTGTGTCTGTGGATCAGAATCCTGGAATTCCCTCACGAGGAGCATTGTGGATCTGCCTACACCAAATGGGCAACAGCAATTCAAGAAGGCAAGTCACCACATTCTCCAATCTAATGTTAGCCCTGATCTGAGGGGTTTAAATACCTCTTGATGGAGGTTCTCTTGTGAAATTGCCAAGTGCTGGTTTGAGCATAGCTGGAGTACACAGTCCTGGCAGATTGGACTCCAAGATGGTTACACACAGAATTTCTGGAATGAAACTAGATAGAGAGCTGGTTCATTGATGACAACAGTTTGTCCAAGTTTCTCTGTGTAGGAGTTTCAGGGATGGCTGTAATTGAAATTTTGAAGAGGATTAATGGATTTGACAGGGTAGAAAGAGAGGACCTGTTTCTTCTCAATGGTGATCTAGGACAGAGTGGGGAATAGGATTATAATCTTCATATTAGAACTAAATCATCCAGGATAATATCAAAAACAGCTTCTTGACGCAAAGGATAGTCGAAGCATGCACATCGCACATACGCACAGGTTGCATTTCAAAACTTACTATTAGATTTTTATTAGGTAAGGTTTTATGTTGACAATCACTTTCTAAATACAACAAATAAAAATGTGAGTAATGCATTTTGGTAGAAGAAACATGGAAAGACAAAACAGACTCGATGTTACAAAGCTGAGGTGAGTGCAAGAGCAGAGGGACTTTGGGTTTCAAGTATGTGATTATCTGACAGTGGTCGAGCAGGATGAAGCTGTTGTTAAGAAGGCTCATGTGAAACTTGTGTTTTCAAACAGAGGCATAAAGTATAAAAGTAAGGAATTGATGCCACACCTCTACAAATCATTGGTTAGACCACATTTGCAATATTGTGTTCAGTTCTGGACGTGGCATTTAAGGAAGGACATTAAAGCCGTGGACAGAGGTTCAAAGGAGATTTATTAGAATGACACCAGGAATGAAGAATTTTAGATACGAGGAAAGATTAAAGAAATTGGGCTTATTAACCTAGGAGCAGAGATGATGAAGAGGTGACCTTATTGAAGCAATGAAAGTGATGAACAATTTTGTCAGGGTAAAGCAGGATATTCTGTTTTCTCCAGTTGATACGTCGGTGACGAGGGGTCACAATTTGTCAGTAAGGGAGCTCAGAGTGAGTAATCTCTTTACTCAGAAAGTTGTTAGGATTTGGAATGCGCTGCCTGGGAAAGTGATGGAGGTGGATTCCATAGGTGGTTTCTAAAACAAAAAAAGAGTTGGATATATACTTGGAAGTGATGAATTTAGAGGGCGACAGAAGTAGGCCTGGAGAGTGGGACGAGGTGGGTAGCTCTTTCTGAAGCCAATACACACAAGAAGGGCCATATGGCCTGCTGTCATTAAAAATCCTTCAAATGTCCACCAAGGAAATTCTGAGTTTGGGGAGGGGGTTTGTATTCCTCTCTGTGGGCACCTGTACAAGGCATCTTTAATGTGGGAAAGCTGTTACACAGCGGCAGAGACATGGTCCTTTACACAAGGTTGACCCAGTTCCAGTGGCCAAGAAATGTTGACTGCGGATCTCCCCACTGCTGGCCTTCACCCACCGTCACAGCCAACGATAGCACACGCCTATCTTCCACCTGGATGGCCGTTGGGGACTTGTTTTGCATTGCACATTATCAGGATCCTCCCCTTGATCGTACCGTCCTGGGTGGCCCTGCCAGGAGGTGAAATCCTCTTCAGGGATCACTCTCGGAACCAAACAGAATACTCGATGATCTCCAAGACTGCAAGGTGACAATCCACAGGCAGGAGCTGGAGGCAGGGAAATGCTGTTCACTTACAGATCCACCACAGAATCGGAGAATTGTTATGGCACAGCAGGAGGCCATTCGATCCATTGTGCCTGCACCAGTTCTGGTTGTTTTCTAAATCAGCCTGTCAGAGATGTTATAAGGCCTCTGGATCTGGTAGGATCTTGTACCAAGGCCTCCTGCTCCTGAGGTTGGGACATTAACTCTGCACCACGAGACCCTGGCTACACTGGTTGTACAAACGTAGAACCATAGAAAAAAATTGTTGGAGTAGGCCATTCAGCCCTTCCAGCCTGCTCTGCTATTCCATGTGATTGTGGCTGATCCCCGAACTCAGTCCCATCTTCCCACTCTCTCTCCATACCCTTTGATCCGGCACAACAGGCTGAGAAACTGACACCCGCCTTCCTCATTGAGTCCCTCGTGCAGTTGGTCACAATCACCTTAATTTAAAAAGAAAACGTGAAAGCTTTTCCCAAACCAAATCTGTTTCTTTTAAAAGGAACAAAATGAACCATGACCTGATTGAGTGGTGCAGCAGGTTTGAGATGCTGAATGGCCTCCTGCTGTTCCAATCACAGAATAACCATCCAGACCTGACTGTAATCTACACCTCTGATCAGCTCTGCTTAACACACCCACCCCCTCTCTCTAATTGGTGCCTGTATGCATGGGTGGTTCCTGATTGGTTAGCAGGAACCATCAATCATCATCAGTCCTGCCTCTCCCTGATTGAATGCAGGATGGTCCCAGGAGAAGAAATACAAGAGTTTGTGGGAGAGTGACTCAGTTCTCAGGTTGTCTGGGTGATAGTGAGTAGGAATAGTGAAGATGGCCTCCCAAGTGTATCAGAGCTACCACAAAGACTGTGAGGATGCTGTTAACAAGCAGATCAACCTGGAGCTCTATTCTTCTTCTGTTTACCTCTCCATGGTGAGCCTCGTGGATTTGTTTTGGAATTGAAGTTGGGCCTGCATGATATTAAGAATGTAGGATTTCTCTCCTTCAGTCAATTTGTATTTAAGAATGCCCTAGTATAGTACTTCTGTGATGTGGAGACTTGAATGCTTTATTCAAGTCTAATCTTACAAAAAAGTTACTGAAACTACTATTGTATGGTGTTATTGATGAATATAATGATTTGCTGCCTTGAATAAATCATGAATCAACTTGTCCAGAGAGATCATGACCTTTCTCTGGAAGGTCCCTTGGGACTTGGTCCTGGATCTCCTATCCCAGAGGTAAGGACATTACCACTACCCTGAGCCCTCATTGTTGCCGATCTTTGCGAGTTAACTATTCTTAGTTCACTTCAGAGCTGAGAATCCTGTTCTGTGTTGGTAGGTTTCCTCACTGAGGCTGAGTCTTTCTCCCTTACCCATAATGACACTTTGAAACAATGAGGTTGCCTTAATATTTTAAACCCCAACCTTCAGCATTAAACATTCATTTTCCAACTTGTAGGAAGTTGATCCCTTTCCTTCCCTCTTCTTTTGGAAGGAAAGAGCCTTTTTACCCACTCAACTGAGGTTTTAGTGACTTAAAAAGGATGTTGTTTCTTTTTGTTTTTTGATGGAACTGTAGCCTGTATAATTGGAAAAAGACTTTCTGAGAAATTTGACAGACTTTAAATGGAAGCAATGAGTTTTTTGGTTTTATCTGTTTGCAGTTCTCTTACTTTGACCGGGATGATGTTGCCCTGCGTCGCTTTGCTGAGTTCTTCAAAGGGGAGTCCCATGAGGAACGGGAACGTGCTGAGAAACTGATGGCATTCCATAATAAACGTGGAGGCAGAGTACTCCTGCAGGATGTCAAGGTTGGATTTAATTGTTTTCTCCAATTAGCTTCACTAGAACTCATAGTACTTAATGTTTGGGCCAATGGAATCAATTTGTTCCAATGTTGTAACTATTATGGTATGCTAGGTCATCCTTCCAACCCATTGTCCCTTGGTTTTTCAATCCATTAAAGCAGCACTCTTTTTTTGCACTCCCAATACCCGCACCCCCCACCCAAACCTTCAGAAGCCAGAGCAGGATGAGTGGGGCAATGGTCTGGAGGCAATGCAGAGAGCTCTGCAGATGGAGAAGGATGTGAACCAGAGTCTGCTGGATCTGCACAAACTCGCCTCTGACCACACGGACCCTCATGTGAGTTTCTAATGTGGGCTTTTGAATTTGGAGGGTGGCACCTTGAGCCTATTCAGTATTTTGAATGAAGGTCTTTCTTTGATCTGATAACCAGCCTTCTTAAAAATAAGAGGATAACTAGTGAGAAGGTAGGACCATGCAAGGATGAAGGAGGCACCTTGTGCTTGGATAGAGAGTATGTGTGAGATTCTAAATGAGTAATCTGTCAATATATTCTTCTCATGGGTGAATATGGTGGACAGTGAGATTTGTGTGGCATGTGCTCCTATGCTCGGGCATTTTTTTCTTTTTGAGATCCAGCAAGAGCATCAAAGTGGATATCTTCCCCAGGGCCATACTTTCCCTTTCAAGTAGGGAAATAATAGCTTCCTGGATTATCACTATGGAGCAGTGAGTCTCATCAGTGGTTGGAACCTCCTAAAATTAGGATAGGGTGTAATTTTACAAATGCATGTCTTTGCTCACTGTGGAAAGTTAGCATGGCTTTGCGCAGGGCAGATCATGTCTTAGTAACTTGAATTTAAGGTGACAGATGATCAGCGGGTGGAGCATTGGATGTCTACATGGATTTTTACTAAATCATTTGGCAAGGTCCCTATGGCAGGCTCATCCAGAGGATTTCAGATGTGTGTGATTCACAGCGACTTGGCCATAGGCAGAGGGTAGTTGTGGAAGCTTATCAGGATAGAGTTCTGGTTTAGTAGTGTTCCATTAGTCATACCAGGATTTCTGGTAATCAATAACTCAAATGAAAACATAGATTGTTGGTTAGTAAATTTCCAGATGATGGAGATTAGTGGAGTTGTGGATACTGGTGTGGTTTTTTTTTTTTTTTAAAAGTCGTAGGATATAGATCAGTTGCAGAAATTGGTGGAGATGGCAGATGGAGCTTAACCGAGGTAAGTGAGATGCTGCACATTGGGATTTCAAATGTTAAGCAAAAGTAAATAGTTAATGGCCAGACTCTGAACAGCATTGATATAAAGAGGGATCTTGGGGGTCCAGGTCCTTAGCTCCCTGAAAGTAGCCACATGAGTACTTAGTGGACAAAAGCAATGACCTGTTTGCCCCTGGGAAATGGAGTACATGAGTCAGGATGTCATGGTGCAGCTTTCAGACTTTGGTCAGGCAACCCTTGCAGGATTGTTAAATTCTGGTCACCACATTACAGGAAGAATGTGGAGGCATTGGAGTGGGTGCAGAAGACGTTGACCAGGATGCTGCCTGGATGAGAGGGTATGAGCTCAAGAAGCTGGAAAAGCTAGGCTTCAGATCTCTAGAACCTCAGGCTGAGGAAGGCTTGAAGTCTGGAAGATAGAAATATCTGTGCCTCAAACATCTGGGGAAAGCTTAGTGGGCCTGGCGGCATCTGAAGAAAATCCATGTTTTGGGTCTGGTGATCCTTCAACTTTTCAGTGTTGAAATGCCTAAAACTATGGCCTGCATCTTAGGTGAGGGGTTAGTGGGGGCAGTTTCCTTTTAATGAAAAGGAGTTTGGAATGCACTGCCAAGGTACTGGTGGTGAAGGCAGACGATCGGGTTGCTCAAGGGCTTTTAGATAAGTACGTGAATAAGCAAGGCATGGAGGGATATGGGCCAAGGGCAGGCGAAAGGGATTAGTTTAATTGTGCATGTTCAGCACAAGATCATGGTCTGAATGACCTGTTTATGTGCTGCATAGTTGTGTTCTGGATAATTGTTAATTCCAAACATTAGTGATGTTAGGATCCTCAGTCTGTTGTATAGAAATTCTTCTGCACCAGGACCACGACAGCAACATCAGCTGTTCTTTACTACACCAGTTCAAGCAGGATAATTCTTTTACCTTGTCTAAACTTCCTTTCCTTCTATTGCCTTTCCAGCTGTGTGACTTCCTGGAGAGGCACTACTTGGATGAGCAAGTGAAGATGATCAAGAAGCTGGGAGATCACATCACCAACCTGAAGAGACTGGGAGCCCCTGAGAATGGCATGGGAGAGTACCTGTTTGACAGGCTCACCCTGGGGGAAGAGTGACTGAACTGAATGCAGGGAGCAAGCTTGTTGCCATGTGTCTAAATGGGAGACCTGTGGAGACTTCTCCTTTTGTAGAAGCAGCTCATTGTCCTGTCCCAAGTGTAAATAAACTGCTCCATATTGGACCGTGTCTTGCCTCCCTTTCTGGGTGAATCCTTGCTGCAGCTTGATTCTGTTCTTGCTGATGGGAACACTTTCCCCACTGGGCTGTGGGTTTCACTGTCTGGACCAGACAATTCTTTGAGATGGTGAGTTGCTGCTTTGAAACACCCTACCATCTTTTGTAGGTAGACCCACAACACCCTTGAAAGAATTAGAAGGTTTCCACCCAGCAACACTTTAGTTTGGATGGTGAGTGTCTTGGAGTGCAATCTGCAGTGGGAGATGTTCCCATGTATCCATTGCCCTGCAATTTTCTGCATCCAAGTCTTCATAGGTTTAGAAAATAAAAGGTATTGGTGTGTTTATGCAGAACATAGTGACACCAGCCTGCACTGAGTATTAGCAGTGGAGAGGGTGAATGTCAGGGTGCCAGCATCACACAGGAATGGATTTTAAATGTCGATCCTTTCAACAACCTCAGCTCCACGGCAGGCCCTACCAACTGAGATTCAAATTAATGAGCCTCAGGTCAGGGTTGTACAGCACAAATACCACCTTTGGCCCAACTAGTCCATGTTGACTCAATATCCTTTAACCTCGTCCCACTTGGCCTCTTCCCTCCAAACCCTTTCCATTCATGTACCCATCCAGACATTTTGTGTGAAAAGATGGACTAAAACCTTAGTTGAAATTTTAAATTTTGCTGACCAGGCCTGTCTGCCTGGGTATCAACCTGCAGCATATAAGGGATTCCTTCCCAATGCTGACATCTGCCAGATCCAGTTCCAATTCCTAACTCCTGTGGGTGCTTGGGAACTAAACTGTTGCCAGTGACAATGATCCAGTGCTGGAGCCATAATGTTTGGAGGATCAAATACTATTCCCGGGCTGCTACATAAGCCAGCCCATTCCTGATGGCTCACTAAAGTGTGTGAGCCTCAGGAATGTTGCATTCAGTACTCTGAGTTGATTTGCCTGAATAATACTACTTTTATTTTTTTGCTCTGCTGGCCCAGGAAATGTAGCCATAGTCTTTACCATGAGGGAAAGCGATCAACATTCAATGATTTCAAAAATAACAAAATTGCTTATCCCACATCGGATTACAGCCATCAGATCCCTGCTCCTTATAGGTGCAGATACTGATACTGTGCAAAAGATCTAGCATTTCTTTCTGTTGTAATGCAGCAGTGTGTAGACAGCCCTGTACTTGTAAGTCAGCTGCATGATACCATAATGTGTGTCTTTCCGGAATAAAAGTATCTGCGCTCGCATGCTTGTTCTCTGAAACAGTTTACTTAGTCAGCCGCATGGAACACTCTTACACTGAGGCACAGAAACCAGCCTAAATATACTTGCAGCGTAAGCCACAAATTGAATCATGGGCGTAGCCCACTGCTAGTGATGTAAACCTGCAAACTGGTGAAGAAGTACACTGATTGTCTACTATACCCGGAGAGACACCTGATCCAATCCTTGCAAAAGGGAATGTTAAATATTCCTGAAAGGATAGCCCAAAGAACTCCTTGAAGAAAATATACCTTAGAAACCAAATGTTTTTGAGTTTTTATGCCTTAAAAAAGGAATTACCTGTGTCCAGATGTCAGGCATTTCTGTCATTTTCTATTTCCAAATGTGTGTAAGTAAAACAAAAACCCTTCCGCTGTCATGAGATCAGATTCCCCTCCATCTGGACTTAATGGAATAAAG